TTAGGGCTGTTGTGTATAGGGTCGCTATGAGTCGAAAACGACTCGATGGCACATAACAACAACAACATACTGGTTTACTTACAAAGTTTGTGTACATTGTTTTTAATACTGGACCAAGTTTGTCTCTATCCCTTCCCAGGTCAGGAGCATCTCTCAGCCAGCTGCTGATGGTCTATTGTCTGCAGTGGTACTGATACAATCAGAGACACTGACAGATAAGAACTTCAGCTGCTTGACAGCCCCACATTCCTTGATTTCATTTCTCCCTAGTTGTAGCTTCCAAAACAGCAAAATCTCAAGGGATAGTGACACAGCAACCAAGTTTATTGGGCCTTAGGCTGTCACAATTGGAGCAGCTGGCTCTGGAGCTGGGTCTGGGAATGTGCTTGGGAGCCTCATCATTGATTATGCCAGGAATCCTTCTCTGAAGCAGCAGCTCTTCTCCTACACCATCTGGGCTTTGCCCCTCTCAGAGGCCAGGGGACTCTTTTGCCTGATGGTGGCTTTTCTGATCCTCTTCACCATGGAAGGAGCCGTCTCCACCTCCAATAGTTTGTTGGTTTTCTCCCCCTGTGTCTCATCTACCCTCTGTGTTCCTTTCCCTGTATCTCCCCAGGAAGCCTGGGGAAAGTGATTGGCTCAGGGTTTGACGAGGGAAAATAATAATACATTAAGTAGGGGAGAGGAGGGAGGCAATTGTGCAAAAATGAATTTTTTTAAAAAAGAAGAAAGTGAACTGAGGGAGGTGGAAGGGAAGAGGAGGAAGAAAAATTTGCAACAATGAATGAATGAAAATTTTTTATATTTTTTTTCTTTATTTTATTGTATTATTTTTTACGTGTACCGTCAAATCAGATCTGACTGGTACAGGAGGAGATTGCCCCCTCCTTCTCCAGCAGGGCCTCTGGTGGATTTGAACCGCATACCTCTGGGATTGCAGTGCAGCATCTTGCCACTAGGCCACCAGAGCTCCCTGAAAATTTTTAAAAATACTATATTAAGAAGATAAAATAAAGGGGAGCTCTGGTGGCCTAGTGGCAAGGAGCTGCAACTACAATCCCAGATGCGCACAGTTCGAATCCACCAGATGCTCTGCCGGGGAAGGAGGGACAATCTCCTCTTGGACCAGTCACATCTGATTTGACGATACACTCACACAAAATTTAAAAAAAATTAAAAAAATTTTAAAAAGACAATAAAATAAAAATTGAAGAAATGCATTGCATTACAGTGGACAAATCTGCTATAAAAGATCCCTGTAAAGTGTTAAAAAGTAAAGATGGGGTTTGGAAGACTAACCAACATATACCTGAGTTAAGCTCTGGTAGCCTAGTGGTAAGAAACTGTACTGCAATCCCAAAGGCACCTTGTTTGAACCCACCAGCTACTCCTTGGGAGAAGGAGGATGGGCAATCTCCTCCTGGAGGGTCACCTATGGCCAGCTGTGGGACTGAGGGTCAGCTGTGGGGCTGAGGGGTCAGTTGTAGTGCTGGGGGAGTCAGCCATGGGTCAGTTCCAACTTGATGGTACTCTACAACAACATTTATATGTGAAAGCTGAACAATGACTAGGAAAGACCAACAAAGAATTGATACACTTGAACTATGGTATTGGTAAAGAATACTGAATATACATGGACTTCCAGAAGAACAACCTGTCCTAGAATAAGTATAGCCAAATGCTTCTTGAAAGAAAACCTGGGGAGACTTCTTCTCATATACTTTATACATGTTATCATGAAGGACCAGTCCCTTGAGAGAGATGTCTGGCTTGGTAGTTGGTGTTAGGTGCCTTCAAGTCAAATATGACTCATAGAAATTCTTTGAACAACAGACCTGGATCCTGCCCTATCCTGTGCCAGTCTCATCATCCCTGCTACACTATAATTCAGTGTTACAATCCCTCTGTCAATCCATCTCTTCCTCTATTTTGCTGACCCTTCACCTTTCTAGGTATGATGTTCTTTCCCAAGCAACATGTACAAAGTATGTGAGACAAAGCTTCATCATTCTTGTTCCTAAGCCCTGGCTGCACTTTCTCCAAGACACATATTTGTTCTTTTGGTAATCCGTGGACATTCAGTACTCTTCTCTAATACCACAGTTCAAAGGCATCAATTCTTCTTCTTAGTAGTTGTTGTTGTTATGTGCAATCAAGTTACCTGCAACTCATAGTGACTCTGTACAGCAGCTCTGAAGCTTACCCTGTCCTGAGCCAGTCTCACTGACTCTGACACACCTGCCCCTATTACCTCAGTTACTGTATCAATCCACCTCATCCAGGGTCTTCCTCTCCTGTGCTGTCCCCCCACTCTTCCGGGCAGGATGTTCTTCTCTAAGGATTAGTCCCTCCTGGCCACATGCCCAAAGTATGTGAGATGGAGTTTCAAAACCTAGCCTCCAACATCTGTGGAAGGAATCACTGTAGAAGTTCAATATCAGCCGTGAAAAGTAAGCCAGGTGCTATTTGCAGAATATACCATCAACTACTCATATGTAAGTTTAAACTAATGCTAAAGAAGATCAAATCAAATCCATGGGAATCAAAATTTGACTTTGAGTCTCTCCCACCTGAATTTAAAAACCAACTCAGGAACATGTTTGAGGCCTTGAATACTAATGAATATTTAGTAGAGGGTCATCAAAAAAGAAGACCTTCAATAAGACATGGACACAGTGACCACAAGTGGCTCAAACACAGCAGTGGTAGTGAAGCTGGCACAGGCCTGGGGAGTGTTTTATTTTGTTACACACAGTCCCTGAGTTGGAATGAATGGTACCTAACAACAAACTGTTGTTGCTTCTCAAAGCCATCCACTTGTGCTATTTTCGTTACAGCAGCACCAGGTAAGGCAAAGGTTTAAATTAAGGATGTAGGGCATGCACTTGGCACTGAGCAAAGCAAACAGTTGGTACTTGGTCCGCTTTGGGCTCAGCTGTTTTAGTGTCAAGAGAAGTGATGCCTGGGGAAGGGGCACATACAGAGGCCCAGAAATCAGCAAGAGCCAAGGCATTCATTGGCACGTGTAAGAAGTTCGCAATGGCCCAGGCAAAGGCTTGATGTAAGTGTGGAATTTACACATAGTTCCATTCTGCTCTTACTACCCTTCATGTTCTCCAACTGAGACGCAATGTTATTCTGCAGTTGTCACCTCCCACTTGCCATATGGTACCCAGCTCACTCAATCCTCACACATCACAACAGACTCATCTTTAGTGGGACCAGCACTGTCCCTATCTACACAGCCCAAAACCTGCTGTACTGTCAGCAGTTTACAGGTGTGTGGAGGTGACCCAGGAAGCTGGAGGCTCACAGATTCACCATCAGCCCACACTGCTCTTTGGGGGAGTGGGAGAACTGGGCTGAGCATACAGGGGCCTGGGCTTTACCTTGCTGGAAAACAGGTACCACTCAGTCTGAAGAACCCTCAGGGAGGAACTGAAGACGACAGTGGTCTCCTCACCTCCTTCACTCTTCTGCCACCAAAGCCCCACAAAGGGTCCCATTTGCCTCCTCCAATGAGACGGGTTAATAGCATGACTGTAGCAATGGGTACAAGTGTGTTAGAGATGAGGAGAATGGCACAGGTAGGACAGGGTTCAGGTCTGTTGTTCAAAGGTCGCTATGTGCTATGACACTGAACAATAACAATAATAACAGCTCTCTGGTAAGAAGCTGCACTGCAATCCCAAAGGCATCAGTTGCTCCACCGGGAGAAGCAATCTCCTTCTAGTGCCATTTACAGCCTCTGAAAACCCTCTGAAGGGTCAGCTATTTCCGACTCAACGGCATACAACAATTCCTTCTGCACCTCCAAACAGTGAAGCTCCCCTTGCAAGAAGGTCTCTTCCCTTGACGATAGACACTGGGAACAAGAATGTGCAGGTTTAAACCTCTGCTCTGCTCTGAGCTTCCTCAGCCCTGGCCTTCACCCTCTCAGGACCACTCCAGGACCCAGAGCATGGATCTGGGCTTCCACTGAGCGCGTTAGCCCAGAAAGGCATGCGCAGTGCCTAGCAAAGTGCAGGGGTCAACTTTGAGGGATGTAGTGCCAGAGCAGAAGGGACCCGAGGTGGGCAACTGGCTGAGTTGAGCGCGGAAGCAGAGAATCCAACTCAGGCTAGGCAGCTGGTCAAGTGGAGTGCACGTTGAGCTGCCCGAGGAGGCAACATGCACAAGGACAGAAGGGGCGCGTGGAGACCCCAGCGGGCACCGGTAGGGGCGCGCGAGGCAGTTGGCTGCGGCGGTTGGTGAGCGGCGGCCTGGGTCCAGGTGAGTGAGCACAGGCATCTGGCCAGGCCGCCATCATGACCAAGGACAATCCTAGCCCCTCGGGGGGCAGCCGCGCCTCGCCTAAGAAACCAAGGAGCCCGTGCCCTGCAGAGGCGGTGCTGGAAGATCAGAAACGGGAGCTGGAGAAAGTGCGGGCCGAGTTGGAGGCGGAGCGAGAGCGAGGGCGGGCAGACCGGAGGCGCTTCGCCGCCCAGGCGCGCCAGCTGAGAGAGGCAGGCGAGCGGAAGCGGCAGCAGCTGGCGGATCACCTGCGCTCAAAGTGGGAGGCGCAGCGCAACCGGGAGCTGCGGCAGCTGCAAGAGGCGGTGCTGCGAGAGCGCGAGGCCGAGATCCGGCAGCTGCTGCGTTGGAAGGAGGCCGAGCTGCGGCAGCAGTGGCAGCTGTTGGATCGCGAGCGCGACGACGTCGTGCGCCAGGCCCGGGCGCTGCAGCGCCAGCTGGCCGAAGAGCTGCTGAGCCGTGGCCACTGCGGTCGCCGTGGGGGGCCGAGGGCGGCAGCCACGCGGCGCCGCTGTCGCCTGCCGGACGATCTGGTACAGCTGCGCTGGGAGATCGACGGCAGGCAGGCAGCGCACATCCGCCACCTACAGGCGGCACTCGATGCGGAGCGACAACTCTTCCTCAAGTACATTCTGGAGCACTTCCGCTGGCGCCCTGCTGCATCCGCGCCCCTGGACCCCCAAACTCTGCAAATCTCGGAAGAGCTGCCACCGCCAGAGACCACCAGCTGCCCCTCACAGCCGACCTGTCGACGCCAAAGGCTGCGCATCGCCACCTATCCGCGATCCCAGTCCCTTGACTCTGCAGGCACGTCGCGCTCCAGCTCACGCGATGGCCAGCTCCCCTCGCGTGCCTGTTCCCTCGAATCCTTGGGCCACGCGCGGAATCGCGCGCTCGGCGCCACTCGGAGTCACCGTAAGACTCCCAAATCCGAAGAGCTGGCCTCTTCCTCGCCAGACCAAGGGGCCCAGGGCTCCCCGAGCCCTTCGCACCCGCCACCATCACCACAGCCCCCATGCGCGTCCCTGTCCGAACACAGAAAATCTAGCGACCCCCAGGACCCAGAAGGTTCAGGGAGCGCCCCTTGTGAGGCCCTGACATCCTCGCCATCGGACGCAAACGACATCGCCCTGGTGAAGCGGAACTTGGAGCTGGCCGAGGCGCTGCGGGTAGTGGTTCGCCGCTGCTCGGCTCTAAGCAAGGAGAACAGCCGGCTGCGGCGCGCTGGCTTCCCCGACGAGGCCAAGGAGAAGGTTAAGCGGCTCAAGGTGAAGAATATGGAACTGACGGACCTGGCGCGACGCCTGGAAGACCGCGCCCGCCAGCTGCGGGAGACAAACCTACAGGCCATGAGCGCTCTGGGGCCTGCCGAGAGCGCAGCCGAACTGCGTCAGGACTTCATGCGCCTGCGCTCCCAGGACTTGACAGATCAGGCCCGCGCGCTCCTGACCAAAGACAAACAGATCGAGGAGCTGCAGCGGGAGTGCCGCCTGTTGCAGGTGCGTTTTGCCTCGGGTCTTGCCAGCCCCCCGCTCCCGGAAAGGGGCGCCTGCAGCGCGCAGTGGCTCGGTATCAGCGACTTGGATCGGCTGCTGCGCGAATCCCAGTGGGAAGTCATGCGCTTACAGAGGCAGCTGATGATGCAGCGGGACCGGAACAGCACTCAGGCCCGGTCGGGAGTGCACAGCGAGCCCTGCGAGGAGGCCCAGGGCCAAGTGCAGGAGTTGGAATGCGAGCTGGGCTCACGGAGCCGCGCGTGTGAAGAGGTGGGCGCGTGGACAGTGGCAGCACGCCAATGGAGTGAGGAGGTGCAGCTGCAGGCTGTGCTGTGCGAAGGCACGTGGCTTGTGGAGGAGAATGTGCAGCTGCAGGCCCAGTCCAGCCGGTTGAGGAAGGTGGAGGCCGAGAGGAGTGACTGCACGCTCAGGCAGCTGGGGCGAGTGTGCCAGGAAAACAATGCCACGGGCCTCCTGGCAGAGCAGCTATTTCAGCAGGTGATGCGTGGGCAGGACAAGCAGCAGCAGATGCAACCTGAACTGGAGAATGCATTTGAGGAGCTTCAGACTGACCAGGAGGAGACGCCACAGGAAGCCACCCAAGTTCCCAAAGCCAAAGCTGAGGACAGCACAAGGCCAGCCTTCCAGCCAGAACATGAAGACCAAACGCTGGTCCAGAGTAGTGGGAATAAGCAGAAAGAAGCTTTGCTTCTGGAAAGCCCAGCCACCCTTGAGGAGTTCCCCAGTGCCCCGCAAGCAGTGGCCAGTGCCCCTACTGACTCTAAGCCCCAGGCCACAAAAGACCGGTCTAATTCCTCCTCAGAGGTGGAGTCTGTATGGGCCACCGTGCTCTCCTGCGCTAACGTGGACTTGGACACCACAAGTGAAGTGGATGACTTGGAGCTGGACGGTGTGTCCCCAGCGCTGGATGTGGGTGGCTTAGAGATTCCTGCCAGTACCAAGCCGAAGATTTTCCTGGCTCAGTATAGCTACAACCCATTCGAGGGGCCCAATGAGCACCCGGAGGGGGAGTTGCCCCTTACAGCAGGGGACTATGTGTTCATCTTTGGAGACATGGATGAGGATGGCTTCTATGAGGGGGAGCTTAAGGATGGCCGGCAAGGCCTAGTGCCCTCCAACCTGCTGGAACAAGTCCTGGACAGCAACATTCTGGACTGCCTCACTGCCACATCCCCCAACAGGGACCTCAACCCATTCCTGGCTGGGCAGGAAGCCTTGATGTCCGAAGACCAGGAAGTGGTGGACAGGGAATCACACACAGTGGCTTTATCAGTGTCCCCAACAGACATGACACTGGAAATCTTGGATGCTGAGAGGGAAGCCCACTGGTCAAGCTGGCTGCAGAGTCTAGAGGAGCAGCGCCTCCCCAAGGCCCTTCTAGGGGTTAAGGGGGCCCTCCATGCAGCCCCCATGCAACTAGGGCTACAACGGGTCACTGCAACCTCTGTAGACATCACCTGGGTCTGCAGCAGCCCCTGTCACCCCCATGTGGTGTACCTTGATGGCCAGGAGCATGCACAGACCCCAGCAGGAGTGAACTCCTACACCTTCCACAGCCTTCTCCCTGCCACCCAGTACAAGGCCCAGGTGGCAGTACAGCTGCCACAGGCCTTGACACAAGGGCCCTGGGAAAGGATGTCTTCCACCCTCACATTTGCCACCCCCTTGGCTGGGCCGCCGGATCCTCCACTGGATGTGTTGGTGGAGTGTCACTCCTCAGCAGGCTTCCTGGTGGTCAGCTGGCTGCCCGTGACTATTGATTCCGCAGGGTCCTCCAATGGTGTCCAGGTCACAGGTTATGCTGTGTACGTTGATGGTATCAAGGTGGCTGAAGTGGCCAGTGCCACTGCTGGGACCACCTCACTGAACTGTTCCCAGCTGCAGGCACATGGGATCTGCCAGAGAGTGTCAGTGAGAACCATGTCCCTCTGTGGTGAGTCCCCGGATTCAGTGCCAGCCCAGATTCCCGAGGACCTGCTCACCTATCACCAGCTGCCCTCTCCTACTGAGGGTATACACAGTCACTTCTCTGTCAGTCGAACCTCCAACCCTGTCTTTGCTCAGGAGCCTGTGAGCACCCATGTTTGTGGAACCTGCCAGGAGTCCCAGGCAGAATTTCTAGAAACATTGCCTAAAGAACCTCAAAGGAGGCAGTCCCAAGTGCCCAGCCCAATTTCAGAAGAAAAATGCCTAAGTTCAAGGGCTCTGAGCCTTTGGAAGGTACAAGAGGAGGTCGAAAAGAACCTACTCACCCAGGAAGGTCTCCAGTACCCCAGGACCCCACTGTCTCATGACCTACCCACAGGGGAGGAAAACCACTCTCAGGACGTGGACCTCACCCAGAGCCCCACTTTGGGACTCAACCATGTCTCTCCCAAGCCTGGATCTAGGAGGGTACCATGTCGGCACAAGCCATCACTGAAGAAAGTCATTTATGAACAGCAGGATGTCGAAGGATCTGATACTACCCCATGGAGCCCAAGCCAGCAGTGTGAGTCCAGCGGAAACAAGTGGCCAACAATGAAAGGAGATTCATGGGTCCACGTGCACACTGATGAATGGCAAGAACAGAAAGAGGATCTGTGCATCCAAGCACACACCAAGAAATGGCAGGAACAGAAAAAGGCCCTGGTGGCCCAGAATGACTGCGGCCTAGCCTGTGAGCCAAACCCAGTGCTGTGTCCAGCTCTGCCCAACCAGGTTGACCCCACATCAATAGAGCAGAGGGCAAATTCTGAGACCAGGGTCTTCCTGGCCCTCTTTGATTACGAGCCCCAAGTGACATCTGCCAACCCCCAGGCTGCTGAGGAAGAGCTGGCCTTCCAGAAAGGGCAACTGGTGAGAGTGTGGGGACCCCAGGATGCCAACGGCTTCTACCGTGGTGAGCACAGTGGGCAGGTGGGCATCATCCCTGGGCACCTGGTGGCCCAACTGAAGTCTGGTGTGGAATGGGCAGACGAGAGATGGCAACTGCCTACTCAAGTTCAGCTGTGCTCTGTAGCCTGCCTCAAGGATTTTGAAGAAGTCACTGGCTGCTTCCCCACATCCCAGGGGAGCCCTGGGGGCCCCCAACTCTGGACTCCCAAAATCATGATGGCTGCTCTTGACTATAATGCTAGAGACAGGCAGGCAGGGGGCTGGGCAAAGGACAAGCTGGTGCAGAAGGCAGGAGACCAGGTCACAGTCTGCAAGCCTCTGGATGACAACAGCTTCTACTATGTCGAGTCAGGAGGCCACCAGGGCCTGATTCCAGCCCACCTCCTGGATCACATGTCCTTCCACACTGAGTGAGGGCCTCTGGCCCCCCCAGCCCTAGCCTAGGGAGGTGACACAATGACCAGCCACACAAGTCTCCTTCCACAAGTCTCCCTCCAGTCCCCATCCAGGAACTATAGTGTACCAACAGCACCACCCCACATCCCTTCCCAGGCCCTAGGCTTGAGCCAGAAGTTTCCCCAAAGAAACAAGATGCAAAGCCTAGAACCTGCGGCCTGTTTCAGCAGGTAGATGGCAGGTATTTTGATAAGTGCCTTTTTCTGCGGCCAGAATACACTCTTGTGTTTAATAGCATCCATTCAGCTTCATATATGAAAATCTCACCAGAAAAATCTACAAGCAGTCTTCTTTCCATCGCATGTTTGGCCCCTTGTTAAAATGTTCCTGTGAAAACAATGTTTTAGATGTCAAAACATAAAATGAAGAACATTGAAGCCTGCCTTTCCTCACCTGTCTTTTCTGTCCGGGAGCCAGGGTGGGGAGTACAGGGAACCCCTGGATTCTCACAGGGTGGGCTTAAGTTGGGACTTGCTGGCTGGTGGAGCTGTGGAGACCATGACCACTACTAGACAGGCTAAGAGCAAGGCTTGGAGGAACCAGGCTCACCAAGAGCATCACACGATGCTGAACCACGATGGTGGAAGGAGCTGGTACCTCTGGCTGGTGTGGCACTTGGCATGGCTTTATGCTCTTTACCCCAGCAGTGCCCCACACCCAGGATAAGCAGCCCCTTGCTGAAAGCCACAGAATTGAGGGCTGCTTCCTGTCATGGTCTTCCCAAGAGGGGGATGGTGAGGGGTGATTCTCTTAGCCCCAAGTGGTTCAACTCTCTGAAGCCCCACAACAATGTGAGAAAGGATGATTGTGAACAACAGGGACTTGTGGGATGAGTAATGAAGGCGCAGCAGGTTTCTGTATGCCCATTGTCTCCAGTTTCATCAAGGAGGCTTGCCAGATTTGCCTTGTCCTGGGTCCCCTGGAGTCACCAATTGGTCTTCAAGGGGGCCAAGAAGGGATGAGGCTCAGAACCCTGGGATCTTTGGGAAGCACATGAGCACTTCCACTCAGGAGTCCTGCCTTTGAGGGAAGGGCATTTGTATTTCATAAAGCCAGTCCTCATCCCTGTGCCCCCCCAAAGGAAAGAACAGAAAGGATCAGAGGATGTGACCTGTGTCCAGGTCCCCAGGGTGCCCTGACACCATCCCAGGAGCTAAAGATGAAATGAGGAAAGAGAACAGACCCAGAGATGGATTACCCAGTAAGCATAGTGACCACATGCTTAGGACAACATAGCAGATGTTCAAAACAAAGACCATAGTTGGTAAGCAGACAAGGAATAAAAGCAAGCACCACATGACAAGGGAGTTGGCAGGACACAAAATGGAACAGCTCCAACATGTGAAAGTTCACACAGCGTCCTGTGGGGGCCCCACATAGGTGATTTAAGCTATGAGGCCTTTTCCACCTCAACACCTTGTTGACCTCTGTCTTATATGGTCCCATTGTATGTCTCAGCAGGTCTCTTGCAAGTTACATATACAATTGCTTTCTAACAAGAAGAGTTCAACAAGGGAGCTCTGGTGGCCTTGAGAGTAAGGAGCTGTGCTGACAGTCCAAAATCAGACAGTTTGAGTCTCCTTCAGATTGATTTACTGCCTCTGAAAACCTGCCAGAGCATCAGCTATGGGTCAGTTCTAACTTGGCAGCAATGTGTTCTATTTGAATTTTGAACCAGCAAGAGGTGTGGGGTGGTCTGTCAATTTCTCAGTCTTGCTGCATAGCAAAAGTGCAACTTGATCAGACATAAGCACGTGCTGGGCCAGGGCTTGTTTCTGGCAAGAACCTCCAGCTCATTGCAGTCCTGCGATCAGCAGATTGCAGCCCTGCCTGTTCCTGCACCTCCTCATGGTAGCCATCATTCTCACTGTAGCAGCACTGTGTCACTCCTGATGATATCAGCGATCCGTTATGAGAACAGAAACATTTCCCTTGATTGTTGACTTCGTTGTGGGTTTTGTAGAAAGTGTAGTATAGCATAAAAATCTTAGTACCGTACAAAGGACCTTTTCCAAGAAAATTACAAAACATTACTACAAGAAACAAAAAGAGATCTTGAAAAGTGGAAGAATATCCCTTGCTC